GTACTGTCTAGCCGGGAGTTGTCAGACTGAAATAGTTAGATCATCGAAATACTTAACAAAGTAGATATTCAAACACTGAAGTTGTTGATCGTAGAAATGATGGATATTAGATAACATCACATGATTCAACATGCATACTGTAGTGATTCTCCATTCCACTAAGCTTAACATGCATTAATCAGAATTCACATATTACGAAAGCACATAGTATAGCGACGCACTGATGACGTTCAGAAGTAGTAGAAATGAAGAGTATATTAAACATTTTCATAGTTTACAAGAGAAAATTTTGATGAACGGTATTAGCGTTAGTTTGACAGATTGACATTTCCAATGATTCCACATTCCACAACCTCCACATACGTAAAATATGAAGTTATGAAAGATAATTTTATATATTAGTATACACTGATTCTATTAACACTAAGTAAAGTTCTCATACAATTTAAAGTATTTGTAGTCCACAGCTGGTCCTTATATTGACAACGTATGCATAAATAGACCTCATAAGTTGTCCAGCACTAGAGGATTACACTCAAATTTCAAGATAAACTCTGAAACGCCTAAACTGTTGAGACGTCATTCTCTCGTCAATTTCACACTAAATACGTCTGCGTTAAATGAGGTATTGCAAACATGTAGTCCAGAACATGCTGAACATGCCTCAACTTTAAGCAACTATGCACAGTGCAAACAACATAGAGAAACACTTAAATATTGTAAGATACGCAGACCTGTTGTGTTTATGAGGATAACAATGACACTTGGCATTCCAGTGAATCATCAATCGATAGACACATCGAGATTGACAAAATTTATCAACCGAAAAGAAAGAAACCTCACACACAAAGAGTCAAAGTTCAAGTCAAGGAAACAATGAGTTACAATACGCGGTACGTCCAACGTTTGCGTTACATTTTTGCGTGATTCGTTACATAAAATTTATCTTGTTGTAATCCTTGCACAAGTACTCTACTACTTCCATACCTATAACTATTAACTCTCATATCAAATATTTATGGTTAACCAAAGTAAAAAGCAGCGAACTCAACCCCCTGTAAAACTGATGACTAATTTTAAGTCGTTGATTGCTACATCAAGCAACACACTTCCTACAAATGGTTATAGAGAGCCACATAACTCACTTGTATGTCGTAAGCGTCGAGCTGAATCAGAGGATAAAACTGTACTGACAACTAGTATTAGCACTACTCCCAAAAATTCAGTACCCTCTGCTCATACAGAAACCCTCCCTACACCTTACGTACTTATCGAAAAGCTCCAGCCTTCAAGCTCTGTTTCAGTGCTATCTTCTGAAATAGAACTTCTTAAGTTGTCTATAGGAGAACTTAAGGCCAAGTTAAGGGACTTAAAAAACAATAAGTCAGTAGATCCTGGAATTTCTGATACCAATACCAAAATATCCAATTTATCAGATCAGATCAGTGATATCAGATCGCAGGTCTGTGAACTGACACCTTTAAATATTCTCATGAAAACTGTAGACCTTAACAAACTTGACAATGGATCGATATCTAAGGTGGATGACCTAATTAACTTTGTTACTGCAGAAGTAACAAAGCGACTCGATGCTAAACTAAATGCTATTGTCTACAACGTTCCGGACAATGAGGCACTAAAAAGGGTACAGCGCATCTTACTTAGTGAGGCGAAAATGCCCAACTCCAAGACTAAGTGCTACAGGCTGAAGAAGAATCAACATGAAAAGTGTTGTCCTATTCGTTTTCAGTTCGAAACACCGGCAGAGGCCAGAAAATTTATCCACTCCCAACACACCCTATCGCAAGTCAGAAATTACAAACTAATAAAGTATGCAGTGGACAAGACAGTCATAGAAAGGCGCGTATACAATCATCTCACTGAGTCTAATTGTGGAATAAACAATAGGACATCGCAAGCAGCAATTATACCCAACCCTATGAGAGATACCGTAGAATCCACCGCACCACCCCTCTCAAACCACACAGAATTATCCTCTCAGACAGATACACCAACCGCAAGGCTACTAAATCGTAATCAAATAGCCAATAAAACCATACCACCTATCACTGTAGATATAGACATGTCACTAAATAATCCCGGAAAAAAGTCAAAATCCCCCGAAAGTCGGCCCTGTCCTCTCCTGTCCATAAGTCCATTGGTAAGAAAAGGAGAATATGACCCCAAATCATGCCAACAACAACGATGGCAGTATAAGTAAGCCCACATTCCCCACGGTCGTTAGTATTGGCACCCACAACGTGCGAAATAGCACCATGGCCTACACTGATAACCAACGCCAAAACAATGCCACCCTCAAGAGTACAAGTGACAATAGTCAGAACTCGACCACCAACAACTCGGGGCATTCACAGTATGGCACACAAATAAATTTTGATCGGATATATGGTACAAGTCTGCTGGGAACTAACCCACAAAGCAGTACACACGAAACCCATACAAGGACACAACTAGTACCTAACAATAGGCGGAATAATAAACCATGGTCTTCACAAGGTCCTAATCATTTTTTATTCCCTGCGTCCCTGTCAGCGTTGAAAAAACAGCTGGTAGGGATGCTAACACTCCTAAACCGCTAGTGCTGGCGACCCCTTTGCATGAATATAGGAACAGTCTAGTTCACCCGCATCTATTAAGCACACCTGATACATGCACAAGCTTAGGTCAAATAAAGATCCCTACCCGTGTTTCTGGCTTAACTAAAAATAAAAATGCCTTAGCCTATAGCAAATCCACTACTCCAACGCTTAATTCTTCACCGAAAACAGCACACACCAACTCGTTAGACATAGATGAGCGTGATATTGAAAATCCTCTTAACATAGGGTCGTCATGTCAAACAGTACTACTGGGTGCTGAACCATATTCAGGGCTGATTGACGAACTTAAATACTTCAAATGCTATTTCAAATCTCATCTTTACCTGATCCTCATAAATGCTAGATCTGTTTTAAATAAACTACCAATGCTCAGAGCACTCACAGCAATATACAACCCCCCTATAAT